AGGGCTCATTAGTGTCTGTTTCTGGCTCCAAGTGACTAGTATGAAAATAATACTAGGCAACACTGGTGAGAGCATATTTGGCTGTAGCCAGCGTTCTGAGTGAGTTACTGGAGGCATCGAAACCTCGCCAGACTTCTACTGGGTGCCGTTACTATTTTCATTATATTTTATTTTTTAAGTTTATTTTGTGACAGAGAGAGAGAGAGCAGGGGAGGGGCAGAGAGAGAGAGAGAGGGAGAGAGAGAATCCCAAGCAGGCTCTGCACCGTCAGCACAGAGCCCGACGCGGGGCTCGAACTCACCAACTGTGAGATCATGATCTGAGCTGAAGTCGGACGCTTGGCCGACTGAGCCACCCGTGTGCCCCCTACTATTTTCATTGTTATAAGTGAGGAAACTGAGACACGGAAAGGCAAAGAAACTTGCCCAAGTTCACACAGCTCAGGAGTGGCAGAGCTAGGATTTGAAATGAAGCTGTCACTTTGGGGCACCTGGGTGGCTCAGTCGGTTAAGCATCTGACTTTGGCTCAGGTGATGATCTCACAGTTTGAGGGTTTGAGCCCCACGTCAGGCTCTGTGCTGACAGCTCGGAGCCTGGAGCCTGCTTCGGATTCTGTGTGTCTCTCTCTGCCCCTCGCCTGCTCACCCTCTCTCCCTCTCTCTCAAAAATAAATAAGCAATTGAAAAAAATTTTTTTAAAGGACCACTCTTTGTAATTAATTTAAAAATTTTTAATGTTTATTTATTTTTGAGAGAGAAAGAGAGACAGAGTGCCAACAGAGGGGCGGAGAGAGAGGGAGACACAGAATCCGAAGCAGGCTCCAGGCCCTGAGCTGTCAGCACAGAGCCCGACGTGGGGCTTGAACTCACGGACCGCGAGATCATGACCTGAGCCGAAGTCGTACGCTCAACCGACTGAGCCATCCAGGCGCCCCCGACCCGAGCCCAATTTAGACGCTTAACAGACAGAGCCACCCGGGTGCCCCTAATTAGTTAATTTTTAATGGTGGTGAAATACACATAACCTAAAATTTACCATTTTAGCCATCTTCAATGAATAGTTCTGCGGCCTTAAGCACGTTCATGCTGTGTACAGCCGTCACCACCATCCATCTCCAGAACTTTCTTCCACCTGCAAAACAAACTCTGTCCCCTTTGAACACTGACGCCCCATTTGCCCTGCCCTGTAGCCCCCAGCAGGCGGCATCTCATTTTCTGTCTCTCTGAAGTCGACTCGTCGAAGTACCTCACGTAAGTGGAATCATAGAGTATTTGTCCCCTTGTGAGTGGCGTAGTTCACTAAGTAGAACGTCTGTCTTCCAGGTTCATCCGTGCTATCGCCCGGGTCAGAATGTCCTTCGTCTTTAAGGCACTGGACGGCTTCCACCTTTTGGGCTAATGTGAATCTCGCGGCTATAAAAAGGGATGTGCCCACATCTCTTCGAGACCCTGCTTTCAGTTCCGTGGGGTGTGCAGGAGTCCAGAGAGCACTCCCAACCGCATTTCCTACCTCTTTGCAGAAACCCCAGCTTTGCGGACTGTTCTGTGAGGCCTCCTTGCAGCGACTCAGGCGGGGGGGCCATTTCTTGGAAGCCCGTGTGATCAGAGAGGGTGCTCCTGTCCACCGTGCGTCACCCCACACGGAGACTGGAGAGTTCCCCGGTAAGCTTGTTAACAATGTAGATTCCCTGGCACCACCTTCGACTGTTCTGAGGCAGTAGTTCTGGGGTAGAACCAAGGACTCTGCATTTTTGACATCGACCCAAAGGTTCTGATATGTTTCTACTTTCAGAAGTCGCTGGATGAGATGACTCCCGGGGTCCCTCCCACCCTAACATCCCCTGGTTCTAAAGTTAATTGATGTTGGGGACGCCTGGGTGGCTCAGTCTTAAGCGTCTGACTTTGGCTCGGGCCATGATCTCACGGTTCACGGGTTCGAGCTCCGCGTCGGGCTCTGCGCGGACAGCTCTGAGCCTGGAGCCTGCTTCGGATTCTGTGTCTCCCTCTCTCTCTGCCCCTCCCCCGCTCATGCTCTGTGTTTCTCTCTGCCTCAAAAATAAATAAACGTTAAAAAATTTTTTCTTAACTTAATTACTATTGGCCTAAAGGCTGAGCAGAAAGATTGTGGCAGACAGAGCAGCATTCACCGAATATTCCAGTCACTCCCCAGCACCGGCCCACACCCTTTCACTGGGTCAGGGCCCCCGACTGCTTGTGGCCAATGAGATGTGAGCGAAAGTGGCACGTGTCCCTACCACGGGGAAGCAGGTAAAAGTCTGTGCCCTCTCTGCTGCCTTGACGAACAGTCTGAGAAACAGAATCTGAACTGCAAGGTCACTGCCATACACAGTAAAGATGTAACAGCGGACACTGGAGGGAAGGTGGCCTTGGGCCTTGGTGTTCTTCCTTCCTGCCTTCCTCCAGCTGAATGGGAGCTTCCAGACTAGAGTGGTGTCGGTCAGTTCAGACCTTGGCCTCCAGGCGAGGAAGAACAGAAAGGCTGTCCAAGACCAGAGGCATCTCAGGACAGTTGGAGGAACCTGGGGGTGGATTGGCTGGATGGCCCATGGCTCGCTGATACCCATGTAAGGCCTTGGGGCCGGGGGAACACTGATACTGTGGAATGAGGTGTTCATCCTTATTGGGGTTGGAGGGCAAGCCCTCTGGGCAGGAGTGACTCACCCTGAGTCCTGAATACCTCTGATGGTGAAAGAAATCCAGCCCAGTCTTCCTAGTCCCGGTCATCTCCTTCCATAGAAAATGACTTCACAGTGGCTTCGAGAATGTTTACACCGATGGGCGGTCGGTCCTTGCAGAGGTGACCCCCTGTTGAGGTTTGGAAATTTTCCCATTGATCTTAGAAAAAAAGCAGGACTCTGCCTCTCCGTGGTAAACTCTGACATTTGTGGACACTAGGCTATTCTTTGAATTTGGGCTGCTTCTTACCCCGGACAAGGCCTCTCTACCCATGAGATTAGTTTTAGGGGCGCCTGGGTGGCTCAGTCGGTTAAGCATCTGGCCCTTGGAGCGTCTGACCTCAGCTCAGGTCATGATCTCACAGTTCATCAGTTCAAGCCCTGCTTCGGGCTCTGTGCTGCCAGCTCAGAGCCTGGAACCTCCTTCAGATTCTGTGTCTCCCCCTCTCTCTGTTCCTCCCCTGCTCATACTCTGTCTCTCTCTCAAAAACAAATAAAGATTGAAATTTTTAAAAATAAACTATAAAAATTGAAAGTAATAAATATAAAAATTAGTTTTAGGGGCGCCTGGGTGGCGCAGTCGGTTAAGCGTCCGACTTCAGCCAGGTCACGATCTCGCGGTCCGTGAGTTCGAGCCCCGCGTCGGGCTCTGGGCTGATGGCTCGGAGCCTGGAGCCTGTTTCCGATTCTGTGTCTCCCTCTCTCTCTGCCCCTCGCCCGTTCATGCTCTGTCTCTCTCTGTCCCAAAAATAAAAAGTAAAACAAAAATTAAAAAAAAATTAGTTTTAAATTTTATTATGTTTTGATTTTTATTACTTATAGTTACATAATTAATTGTATTTCCATTTTTAATGTAAATTTTACGTCTTAGAAAAATAACACGTTCCCATAATACAAGTCAAAAGATACGGGAGGATGTACAGTGAGAAGCGAGTGTTGCTCTTGCCCTTCTCTCAATCCCTCGGTTCTGGAAATAGAATCTAGGGATATTTAAAGAAAAACTTGCTGGTAATAATAGGTACTGTTTATTAAAATTTGTCATGTGCTGGGCATAAAGGAGGCATTTTCCACACACCATTTTATCAATGTCCACAATGGCCCTATATCCTTGGTATATTACAAGAGAGGAAATTGACCCTTGGACAGAAAAAAATAACATGTCCAAGGTCACACAGAGAATAAAAGGCAGAGTCAGGGCCAACATCACGCTCTTTCCAGTGTGCTGACTGCCTTGCATATCACTAATTAACATTGGTATAATGTTTTCCTATTTATAAACTGTGTCGCAAGACATTTAAGGCTCATGACTATCCTGTGGGGCAGGCAGGGAAGACATTATTGTTGTATCCAGAATACAGACGAGGAGACTGAGGTTCCAGGAGGACCTACGGCTCTAGACACATGTGGCTTGGCCCTGTGCCAAGTGCCCTATAAACCTTGACACATTTAATCCCAACAACAGCCATTGAAATGTTTTTTACTGAAGAGTTGAAGAAAGCAAGAGTCAGAGAGGTAAAGTGATCTGCCTAAGATCACACCACAAATAGTTGGGAACACCGGGAACGGGTCACCTGGTGTATCTAACTTCAAAGTGATCGCGTTTTAATTATCAAGTACTGTAGCTTGCAGAGATCGAAGTCTGGCGTTTTCATCTGACTAGCCCATCGATCCCCGCATCGGAGCTAGGAGAGGTAGTGTTATTATTCCCATTTTACAGGTGGCAAAACCGAGGCCTTAGTAAGGGGGCGCCGATTGCCCAAAGTCACACAGCTCACAACTGGCAGAGGCAGGATTTGAGGCTGCTTCGGATTCTCTCTGGGGTTTTCGCCCCACGCCCAGACCTCGGGTCGGTTTCTGCAGAAGCCACATCCGGTTTTCACTTCAGCCTGGCGGCGCCTGCCGGTAGTGACTTCACCAGAGACGGTGTGAGCACCTGGCAGGGCGGCCGCGGAGGGAGGGAGAGGGTCAGCCCCGGGGCCAGGCGGGATGACCTCCAGCAGTCCTTCAAGCTTCAGTGTCCTCCCACCTCAGCATTCCCTTCACGTCCCCGTCCTCATTTCTCCAGCTCCCGCATTTGCCAACTTCTTTTTGCCCCTGAAAGGAATTTTTACAGACTTCGCGCAGAGTCAGAAGGGGAGCCCGGGGGAACCCGGTGTTGCACCTCCGCCACCATTGGTTGTAGCGCTATGAGACTCGATTTGCATATCGTGTTCGATTGGCTCAAGCGACCGGAGTGGGCGGGCTCAAGCAAATCTACCTGTCAGAGGGTGGAGCACGCAGAGCTTCCGGGCTGGAGAAGGGGGAAGGGCCACCTGGCAGCGGTGAATGAGGCCGGGCGTCCTACTGATGGACCCGAGGCAGGAACCTGTCCACACCCCACACAGCCGCTTCGCAAGCGCGGCCTGGTGCAAACGCGCATTTGCTGGGACAACACAAAGTACAGTGACATTGCTTGCTTCTGCGGGACTTCCTTGGGGAGGGGATGAGGCGGGGGAGGGCAGGAACTGGAGGGAGATCTTCATCGTAAAGTCTTTTATGCCCGAACTGTGAACCGTGGGAAATTATTAAAACATAATTTTTAAATATATATAGTTATATATTTATATTTATATATATAAAGTATATATATAAAGTACATATGTAACTATATGTATGTAAATATATATACACTATACACAAGTGTGTGTGTGTGTATATATATATATATATATATATATATATATAGTGTCTCAGTCAGTAGAGCATGCGACCCTTGACTCTTGATCTTGGGATCCTAGTCCCAGCCTCACATTAGAGGGTAGAGATTACATAAAAAACAATTTAAACATCCCAAAATTATATATAAAAAAATAAAAAGTATATATTATTTTGCGTTGTATATTTAATTTTAATTTATAGTTAATTTAATATTTAGTATTTCATTTATTTAATTTTTAAATTTAATTTAAAATTTTACATATCTATAAATATTATTGATTTTTTTTTTGAAAGAGAGAGAGAGCATGTGAGCAGGGGAGGGGGGCAGAGAGAGGGAGACAGAATCTTTAGCAGGCTTCATGCTCGGCGCTGAGCCCAACGGAGGGCTCGATCCCATGACCCTGGGATCATGACCTGAGCCAAGACCAAAGTCAGTTGCTCAACCGACTGAGCCACCCAGTGCCCCTGAATTTTATGTTCCAATAGGTTCTCATGGTGTGTGCATATATAAATGTGCTCCACATATGTGTGTAGATATAGATATATAGATATATAGATACATGGGTGGACCTTCTTAGGACACTGTCAGAGAGTTATAAATGCCAAACTTTTCAGCCTGGCATTCAAAGCCCTCTACATCCTGCTCTAGCCTCTTCCCACCTGCCCATCATCCCTGAACCCACAGCTACTGCCCCCACAGATTGGTCTCTGCCCAACCCGCCTTTCTACCCTGACTTTGTCCTTGCCTTTGCCTCTACACAGACACTCTCTCTCCATACGGCTACATCTTTGAGGTTCCATCCAACCTCTGCGGTCCCTCAGCCCCCTCCCTGATCCAGAGTTAGAGTTGATTTCTGCCTCCTCTGTGCTTCCAGGCACTTGGTTGGTACTTGGCTGAGTGTATTTGTCACAAGGTCCATCCACACAGCTCCCCATGGCCCCCATTGTTTCATCAGCCCACCTCCCCAGCTTCGGTCCAGTGTCCTTTGTTGATTCGGCAAACATCCATTGAGCACCTACTCTGTGCCCCGCTGTTCTAGGTATTGGGCATAGAGCAGGGAACCAACCCTCCAAGTTCGTGCTCTCCTGGAGTTTATGTTTTAGTGAAGATGAAGAGTTAATGGATAACCCAACATGGTGTATAATTTGTCAGGTAGTAACAAACCGTGAAGAAAACTAAAGCAGGGAAAAGGGGTTACCCTAGACAGGGATATTGATTCTTGTTTGGATTAAGGATTTAGTGATGGTTCTGTGGAGGTGACATTTTAGGAGCAATCTGAATGAAGTAAGGAGGGCACCAGGCAGTCTCTGGAGAGTTCCAGGCTGAGGAAGAGAAAGAGGGAATAGCCACGTGTCCAGTTAGTGCCCAGCAAGTGGACGTTGAGTTAAAGAGGACAATGGAGGAACGCTGGCTGGCTCAGTCGGTGAAGCAGGTGGCCCTTGGTCTCGGGGCTGTGGGTTCGAGCCTCATGATGAGTGTAGAGATCACTTAAAAACAGTACAAAATAAAATAAATTGAGCAATGGAGAGGGAGAGAGAAGATTGTCACTGGTCCAGGAGAGCATGAGGACAGCTTCTTATATTTTCCAGGAGTGGCGAGCCTGGCCTCTACCCAAATGACTGAGCTGTAACCAGTAGCACAGCCTTGGGAAGCCACACCCGGCAAGTTTGGCTTCTGAGAGGCAGCTCGGAATTGTGGGAAGGAGAACCTGGCTCCAGGTTCAACCCTGGTTTGGGCCCTTATCAATGTTAAAGATCTGGTGTTAAACTTTTCACATACCTTATCTCACTTACCACTCAGAACAACATTTTAAGGCCTGCCTGGTGGCTCACAGAGATTCAGTGGCTTGCCCAAAGCTTCATTGTTAATAAAATTCCATGTCGTGCCAGGAAGTCAATGTCATGACCGGCATTAAAAAAAAATGAAATCGGGGCACCTGGGTGGCTCAGTCGGTTAAGCGTCTGATTTCAGCTCAGGTCACCATCTGGCAGTTTGTGAGTTCGAGTCCTGCATCGGGCTCTGTGCTGACAGCTCAGAGCCTGGAGCCTGCTTCGGATTCTCTGTCTCCATATCTTTCTGCCCCCTGCCCTGCTCGCACTCTGTCTCTCTGTGTCTCTCACTCTCAAAAATAAATAAACATTAAAAATTTTTCAAAAAAAAAGATCTAGATTAGAAGATCTTAGAGTATTTGGGGTCACCTGTTTCATTTACGTGAGTGCATTTGTATGATAAGATACATTCCTTGCAGTTGTGTGAATGTAAAAAGACCAAAAACTCTAAGAACACTGTTTTGGACACCGCCATGGATAAAGCACCTGTCACAGCACCCAGCATCTACTGGTTTGCAATGAGGGCCGTTATTGGAGCTTAACTAATCAGGCAGCACACGTGAACTTGCTAGTGACCCTGGTTCACCAGACCTCTGTGCCAGGCTGATGCTAGGAACAGAACTGCTGGATTAGTCGTCGTCATCCTCCTCCTCCTTCTAGTCCTAGAGGACCCCATCTAGCCCTGACCTCTCTGCTACATGGCTCTCAGGCCAGCCTCCAAACAACCACCTCCATCTCCAGGCTTAAAAAACAAAAACAAAAACAAAAAAACAGTAAAAGTAAAAACTTTTGTCCAAACCAAATTCTGCCCACGGATGTCCATAGCAGCTTTCTTCATAATTGCCAAAAGTTGGAAGCAACCAAGATGTCTTTTTTAAGAAAAAAAAATTTTTTTTACATGTATTCATTTTTGAGAGACAGAGCACGAGCAGGGGAGGGGCAGAGAGAGGGGGGAGACACAGAATCCAAAACAGGCTCCAGGCTCTGAGCTGTCAGCACAGACCCCGACGCGGGGCTCGAACCCACGAACTGCGAGATCATGACCTGAGCCGAAGTCGGACGCTTAACCGACTGAGCCACCCAGGCGCCCTGGAAGCAATGAAGATGTCTTTTAGTACATGATGCACACTGTGGTGCATCCAGAGAGCAGAATATTATTTAGCACTAAAAAAGAAATGTGCTCTGGGGGCACGCACCTGGGTGGCTCAGTCAGTTGAGTGTCTGACTCTTCGTTTCAGCTCAGGTCATGATCTCATGGTTCGTGAGTTTGAACCCTGCCTCAGACTCTGCATTGGCAGCATGGAGCCTGCTTGGGATTCTCTCTCTCCCTCTCTCTGTCCCTCCCTGCCCTCCCCATTCCCTTCTCAAATAAACATTTAAAAGAAAAAAAAAAAAAAGAAATGTGCTATCAAGCCATGAAAAGCCATGGAAGAACTTGAAATGCGTATTACTAAATCAAAGAGGCCAATCTGAAGAGGCGACATGAATTCTGTATGATCTGGCTCTATGACATCTTGAAAAGGCACAACTATGGAGACAGTAAACACGATCAGTGGTTGCAGGGGTAGGGGTGGGGGTGGAGGAGGAGGGGCTAAATAGGCAGAGCACACAGGATTTTTAAGGCAGTGGAAATACTCTGTATGATACCATAGTGATGGATTCACGTTGTTATCCACTTGTCCAAACCCATAGAATGTACAACGCCAAGAGTGACACCGTAATACAAACTATGGACTTTGGATGATTATGATGTGTCAATGTAGGTTCATCCCTTGTAACAAATGTGCCACTAATAAGGGTTCCGGTCGTTAGTTCCGGTATGTGGTGGTGGGGACTAGGGGGGGCAGGGGAGTGTCCCCACGCCAACAAGCAATGCTCCGGACACCAGCTGAGTGCCCTCCAGTTCAACCCAATTCAGACCCTTCTACCTGGAGATAGGGTCAGGTCCCACAGGTGAAGGGCTCAGTCCTACAAGGCTGCCCCCCCACCTCCCGCCCCACTTCAGATGCTGGTTCACAAGGGCAGGTTGTCACCTGTCCTTCTGACCCACGCTATAGACCAGAGGTTCCAAAGACCCACCCCCTTGGGTCCATTAATTCCCTAAAGCTGCCCATAGAACTCAGGAAACCTGTTTATTCACTAGATCACTGGTTTATTTTAAAAGGCTATAACTCAGGAACAGCCAGACAGGAGAGACACATGGGGCAAGGTGTGGGGAGAGGGCCTGGAGCTTTCATATCACTTGCAGGTGTTTACCAACCAGAAGTTCTTTTTTTTTTTTTTAATTTTTTTTTTTAACGTTTATTTATTTTTGAGACAGAGACAGAGCATGAACAGGGGAGGGGCAGAGAGAGAGGGAGACACAGAATCCGAAGCAGGCTCCAGGCTCTGAGCGGTCAGCACAGAGCCCGACGCGGGGCTCGAACTCAGATCATGAGCTGAGCCGAAGTCGGACGCTTAACCGACCAAGCCACCCAGGCGCCCCCCGACCAGAAGTTCTTTGAATCTCATCCTCTTGGGGTTTTATGGAGGCTTCATTACAAAGGCACAATTGATTACATCAGGAGCCATTAGCCATCCATTCAACCTCAAGAGCTCTTCACCTCCCTGGAGGTGGGGGGTGGGGGGTGGGGTGAGACGGTAAGTTCCAAACCTCTCTGCTTTCAGTGGGTTCCACTGGCTACAAGCCCCCGTCCTTAGGTGCTTTCCAAAAGTCACCTCATTAACGTAACAAAAGACACTTCTGTTGCTGTCAACACTTTGCAAATACCAAGGGTTTTAGGAGCTCTGAGCTGGGAACCTTGACCGAGATCAAACACGAGAAACACAGTTTGTAGTCTAGTTGCCCATGTGTATATTACAATGTACGTGTGTATAAATAACAATATCACACCCACTCTGTTGGGAGATGTTAGCGACGGGGAGACTGTGCGTCTACGGGGGCAGGGGATATGGGAGAAATCTCTCCAAGTTTTCTGTGAACCTAAAACGGCTCTGAAAAATAAAGGCCTTTTTAAAAATGCCGAAGAAGCATTGCTCTAGAAAGGGGCCCTGGAGCCAGATGTCCTGGGCTTGAAGCCTGGCCCCACCGCTTAATAGTGTTGGGGTGCTGCGGTGTTGGGGAAGTCACTCGACCTTTCTGTGCTCCGGTAGCCTCATTTGTACCGTGGGGGATTGAAAGAGACCTACCTCTTGGGCCGATGTGAGGATTCGAGGAGTGGGTATGTGGAACTGTTCTCGGAAAATGCGTGGCAGGTCCTATGTGCTGGCCACCAATAGAGGAGGCGTGAGTAGAGGAGGAATTTCCAGCCCTTTGAAGACTAGCTAAACCGGACGCGGGCATTTATGGGAGAGCTGCCTGGGTCCTCGGTACTCAAGGCTTCTGCAGCTTGATACCTTTGCCCTGTTTACCAGGAGCACCCCCCCCCCCCCACCGCCACCGCTGTGAGCCTGTCCCTTCACCTTTGCCCAGACCTCCCTATCTTGCCCGAGGGCACTTTTGGTTTTTGGCCCCTTTGCCTTTAAACGACTTCAAGGTGGAGAGGGTTCTGGTAGGCTAGAGCAGCGCTTCCTCAGTCACTCTTCTCGGCTTGCCAGGGTCTTTGCCCCCTCTGTCTGATGCTTGGGCGGGTGCTTCAGACCTTCTCTTCTCTCCAGAATCTCGCCAATCATTCTCTGTCCACATTGGCCAAGACAACCCTGAACACATACAGCCTTCGCCTTTTTAGAGCATTTTCCCACACGCTCTATCAGATGAACCTCATCAAACCGATCTTGTTAGCAGGGACATGGAGTGGTCAGGCGCCCAGCTTATGATCGCACAGCAGGGACCTCAGTCCAGCCCTCTTTGTAAATAACAAAAAAAAACAAAAAAAAAAAACACCGTAACATCCGTGTGTGAAATCCTGTTGTGCCAGGTTTTCACCCGCCTACCTCATTCTAGCTCTTTCCAGTGCTTCTCAACCTTCACCTTCTGTGAATCCCCTGGGCCTGATGTTAGGACGTAGATTCTGGGGGTGCCTGGGTGGCTCCGTTGGTTGAGCATTCATCTCTTGATTTCGGCTCAGGTCGTGATCTCATGGTGGTGAGATTGAGCCCCCCCCCCCCCATCAGGCTCCCCGCTGAGCATGGACCCCGCTTGGGCTTCTCTTTCTGCCCTTCCCCCCACGCATGGTCTCAAAAATAAATTAAAAAAATAAAAATAAAAAAGATGTCGATTCTGATTTCACGGGCGGAGGTTGGGGCCTGAGAGTCTGCATTTGTTTGTTTGTTTGTTTGAGAGTCTGCATTTTTAACAAGCTCCCAGGGGATGCTGAGGCTGCTGGACTCCACGGACGCCAGTTTGGATAGCCAGGAACCTTTCCGTGTCCTGTGAGGTTGAAATCATCACCGTTGTTTTTCAGGTGAGCAAATAGAGGCTCCAGGCAGTTCAAAGACTACTCAAGACCTCTAAGCTAGTAAGGTGGTAGAACAGAGATTCAAACTCAGGTGTTGCGGGGGTCAGATCCTGGGTGATTGCCTTTCTGTTTCAGTGGCTTTAGCACTGGGGGTCCAAGCTGCATTTGCTCCAAAATGGCTGAAATCCTGTGATGTCACCCTGACTCCACCACCACCCATCTGGGCTGGGCTACTGAGATGGCTCCCCTATCTCAGAATGGATGTCACTCAGAAAGGGTACGTTAACCATAAAGTCCTTTGCCACACAGAAGTGCTATGAGGCCAAATGTTAAAAACACACCCTGGAAGGGAAGAGAGGCTGAGAGACACTCCTACAAGTCAAATATGCCAAGGTTGGCTGCTGGGGCCTTGGTTCCTGCTCAGAGGAGGCCATGCTCTGTCACAGCAGGGGCATGGGATGGGTGTACTGGCCGGTGGTCTCTCCTTCCAATACCCGTTTCCACAGAGCTGGAAAAGACAAAGGTCACTTCATTTTTATTTATTTATTATTATTATTTTTTTTAATTAACAAAAAAATTTTTTTAACGTTTATTTAATTTTGAGACAGAGAGAGGCAGAGCATGAACGGGGGAGGGGCAGAGAGAGAGAGGGAGACACAGAATCGGAAGCAGGCTCCAGGCTCTGAGCCATCAGCCCAGAGCCCGACGCGGGGCTGGAACTCACGGACCGCGAGATCATGACCCGAGCTGAAGTCGGACGCTTAACCGACTGCGCCACCCAGGCGCCCCATATTTTTCCTTTTTTAATAACAGCTTTATTGGTCTATAATTCACATACCACAAAATTCACCCTTTTAAAGTGTACCTTTCAGTGGTTTTTAGCGTAGTCACAGAGTTGTGCACCTATCACCACTATCAAATTCCAGAACCTTTTCATCATTCTGAAAAGAAACCCCATCCCCATTAATGGTCACTCCCCACTCCCTCCTCCCCTCTGACCACTGATCTACCTTCTGACTCCATAGATTTGCCTATTCTGGACATTTCATATAAATGGGATCATACCATAAGTGGCCTTTTGTGATGGGCTTCTTTCACTTAGTGTAATGTTTTCATTACGCTATGTTGTAACATGTACTATTTTTTTAATTTATTATTTTTTAAATTTACAGCCAAGTTAGTTAGCATATAGTGCAATAATGGCTTCAGGAGAAGATTCCAGTGATTCATCCCCTACGTATAACACCCAGTGCTCCTTCCAGCAAGTGTCCTCCTTAATGTCCCTTGCCCATTTAGCCCTTCCCCCCACCCACAAACCCTCCAGCAACCCTGTTTGTTCTCTATATTTAAGAGATTCTCTATATTTAAGTGGTGATTTAAGAGTCTCTTATGTTTTGTCCTCCTCCCTG